TAAGTTAGGTTGGTGAGGTCATCGCCGACGAAACCCTCCTGACGCACAATTCAACGAGCAGGGTCCCATTCCTCAGGTTATAACACGTTTTTCCTGGTTTTTTCTCGTCCTTTCGTCACTGACCACATTAACTTTGTTTATAGTGGCTGTCTTTCATCGCAAGCTTCGCCTTCAGTTGGCATTATTCAGTCTTGGTGGCGCATTCCGTGCATTCCACGCATTCTCCGTATTCCACAGTAACCCAAGGTACAAGTGCTGCCTTTGGGGCTGTATTGCAGTCGAAAATGATAACGGAAGGGGGAGGGAGTGGGCTACTAGTAAAGAAAGTGGGTAAAGAAATCTTCAGAACTCCCCAGATAAGCCCGTTTTCCATCATAGCAGTCTAAGATGTGAAAATGACTTGTTCGGACGAGTTTTCCTAGCAGCAACTGTCTTCATGAGCCCAATACTATTTTTCCTCCTGGGGACGCGACTCTCTTCTTCAATGCTATCCCAAGGCTAAGAGAAAGAGTTGCGTAGATTCCGCCATACCTCTGCTCTTCTACCATAAGCGACAACTTCTCACACAATAGTGCTCCAACAACAGAGAAAGGGTCGTTACTGCACATTAGTTAATAGCGCGTCCTCAAGCAAATCGTTTCGTAGGTGAGATAAGTGCATCGAGGGAGGGGATCTCGTTCGTCTAGGAGAAGGATAGCGCACAGATTCATGTTAGCAGCCGGTACGGCTCGATTGGGGCATGCCAGGCCAGGCCCAATCAGCGTACGGCTGCCTAACATGAATCTGTGGCTATCCCTTTTCCTAGACGAACGAGATCCCCTGCCCAATTGGGGTACGCAGCAATGTTCTCAGCCCGCTTTGCGTGTACATTGGAGAGTCCCGGAAAGGTCCCACTGACAATGCAATCCACGACACTCTATCCATACCTAAGAGAAAGATTGAACTATATAGTAGTGTGCTTCTTGAGCCTATAATCGCTTCGACTGTGTGAGGATGAAGCACCTTCTAACCCACAAGCTGGGCTCGGTTGCGACTATTTTGAAGCGCTATTCTAATAGCATCCCAGAAGCAATATTCACTACATTGTCTAAGCCTTGTCTAAGGTTGTGTTACGACCAGTTCTTGAGAGAAGTTTTATTGCAGGAAATAAACTGGAACCTCACTTAGTCGAGGTGTTTATATACACCTCGAGGTCAGTGATAATACAAGATCATAAACAATCTTCATTTCCACAACACCTCCCCCCTAAGATGGACACTCTAAGTGTACGTCTTCTTCTTAGGGTCGACCATCAGTCGCTCTGGTGCGCGTCGTGGCCTGATCCGACGTTGTCCTGTGGCGTTTTCTGTCGTTAATGTCATTGTTTCAAGTGATCTCTGACGTCTGCTGTAGATTGGTTCTATCCTTGAGTTGCGCTGATCTTGATTCTTTTGACATGCGAATTGGTATTGAGGAGGGCAGAAGCGGAAGGTCGGCGAGTTCTGGCGTCGACTCTGAATAGTGTAAATCCTTGACAACGTTTGAGCGTAACTAATTCGCGTGACGTTTCTAGTAAACGTAGTTTCTAGCGAGCATCTTCATACGAGTCGTCTTTGGATGTCCGTCATGAAGTTCGCGAAGCACGGCGTCTCGTAATACATCTGGGATCAAAATGCGATCTCCGATAAGTAGGCATCCATCTGGTTCTGTGTTTAGAGCGATTCTCTGAGACATTTGAATCGACTTGTGACCTCAGATTTCTTTAGGCCATTCTCCGCTCCGAATAATTTCAGAACGCTTCTGCAGAACTGGATCCTTGGATGTTTCTTCCGCTATTTTCTTCGCATCGACTGGTAACTTCGATATTGCATTGACGAATATGCACCGAGCTTTTTGATTGTGGCAATAACTAGTAGATCCTGAATTTTCGGTTGATCCGCGATGAGACCAGGTATGGCGTCTGCTTGTCCGAAGCTGGAGGTACTTCGGTATTCGAAAGTGAAGTCGGAGTTCTGCACTATGAGAGCCCAGTGCCTAGAGTTGTTTAGCTTGTATGTATAGGCACTCTCTTGCTTCCAAAAATTTGCGAGAGAGTGGATGTGTGAATGATCAGTTAACAGCTTGAAATGACGTCCGTATATGTAACGGTGGAATTTCCGTAAGGCGAACGTTATGGCGAGAGCCTCCTTCTCGACTTGACCGTAATTCTTCTCGGCAGCTGTCAGTGAACGGCAGGCATGATGAATTGCTTTTTCCGTTCCATCCGAAAAGCGGTGACTAATCACTGCTCCTATCCCATACTCCGATGCGTCGGCCGCGATGACGATCTCCTTTGTGGGATCGTAGTGGGTGAGCAGGAGATCCGAGGCTAGCACATCCTTGGCGCGTTGGAATGCGTCTTGACACTCGGCAGACCAATTGAACGGAATGTTCTTCTTCAGCAGATCGTCCAACGGTGCACGTAGTTGTCGCATCTCGCTGATGAAGTGTCCGTAGTAACTTAGCATCCCCAGGAACGATCGTACCTGGCTGATGTCCGTGGGGTGTGGCATCTTGCGAATTACTTCGATCTTGGCGGGATCGGGTCGACGTCCGGTAGCATCGATTATATTTCCCAGGTATCGGAGTTGAGGCATCAGGAAATTGCATTTTTCGATCCGGACACGGAAGCCATAATCGGATATCCTTTTGAACAAAGCTTCCAGATTGGCGACGTGCTCCTCGATATTGCGGCCTGTGACAATAACGTCGTCGAGGTATGCAGCGCAGCCTTCGAGTCCGCAAATCATGGAATCAATGATTTGCTGAAAGATGCCGGGCGCAGATTTGACGCCAAACGGGAGGCGATTGTAGCTAGTAGTCCTCTGTGTGTATTAATGGTTAACAGCTCCTTCGCCTCGTCGTCGACTTCGACTTGTAGATACGCATCTGCGAAGTCTATCTGCGTGAATGTTGTGCCACCATTGAGCTTCGTAAAAACGTCGTCCGGAGTTGGTAGTGGATGTTGGTGCAGCATGAGGGCTTCGTTCAGGCCCGTCGAAAAGTCAGCACAAAGTCGTAGCGTTCCGTTTGCTTTCTTGATGACGACGATCGGCGCAGCCCAAGCAGAGTAATCCACTGGGGAAAGTACTTGTTCTGCAAGTAGGCGGTCGATCTCTCCGTCTAGTGCGGCGACGTATGCGTATGGCACGGGGCGCTTCTTCTTGAAAATGGGGTGGGCATCGGGCTTCAGTTGTAGGGTTGCCTTCGTCTTGGTACATCGTCCAAGTCCTGTCTTGAAATACGTCAGCATAGTTCACTTTCAGCTTGGCGACGATTTCTTCTCGGTAGGCAGCCGCAGGATCCGCAACGATGGACACACCACTGACATATCTTTGCAGTGGTTTCACCAGCTCTGGAATCTTCTGGATCCATTCCCAGCCGAAAATGTCGAGGTTGTCGGTAACGTAACAGCATCCTCGTCCTCGATGTTGTTTTCCGTCAGAGCTCCTCAGCACAAAATCGACCATTAGAGATCCATTTGTTGGGATTCTTGTTCCATTGGCGGCGTTAATGACCATGTTACAGTTCTGTAGTTGCGGCCTCCCAAGTATCTTCCAGCTCGATTCAGAGATCAGTGTGATCATGGCGCCAGTATCGAGTAAAAGATCCAGGGGATGTCCATTTACTTCAACTTCCAGGTGTGGTTGGTTGTTTTTGCTTAAAGCGGCCTCGATGCTTTTGATCTGGTAATTCTTTGTGCCGTAACGTCTGGTCTGTGGGCGTGACGGTGATGTTGATTCCTGTATTCCAGATCGTTTACTGTCGTGAAGCGCATTGGTTTTTCTTTTTGAACTTCTGTTCCTGCTTCTATTTGAAATTTCTTCTCTTCCTCTTGTTGACATGGTTGATCGTAGCGTTAGCATTAATGCGTTTTCCAGCATTCTGGCGTCTTCCTTGTATGCTTTATAAGTTGACACTCAGCAGTGAGGTCTTTGATCGTAATGTCCTCACCTTGATCTAGCTTTCTTAGTAGTCGTGTTCTGTAGTCCGCAAATTCGGCTCCCTGGAATCCTGCGACGTAGATCAGGCACTGCAGACCATCGAAGTTGATGGAGTTGAATTTGGCATCAGAACATCGTGTTCGAACAAGTGTCTCATAGCTGTTGAAATCTTGGTGGTCATACTGAATTTTAAGACATTCAAATCGTCGACGAAATAATGTCTTACCAGAGCCGAAAAGACGGTCCATGGTGGCAATAGCTTCATCCCATGATAGGTCTGACGGCGACTTCGGTGCAATCGGAACCGCAGAAGAGCTGGCGGCTGATCCAGTAGGCGAGTCTTCTCTTGTCACTCAGCTCCGTACAGTCGTTGTCGAAGACGTCCTTGAATCGTTTGTACCAGATATCGAACGTTCTTCCGTTTTCCGCGTCGAAATTGAACTTGTCGATGCGGCGGCACAGGGAGTCGAAGATACTGTGCTTCGCAGCTGCTGGATTTACTCCATTCATCCGCATCTTCCATCTTCTCTAGAGCCCGAAGGAAGGAGTCAGATGTTTCCTTCTGCTGCTTCTGCATGAATTCCAGCGTCTTCTCCTGGTGTTCCATCCGGCTCTGCATCAGGGAAAGAATTTCGGCCAGCTTCTCCATGAGTCCTTGAGCCTGATCGCCAGTTGTTACGACCAGTTCTTGAGAGAAGATTTATTGCAGGAAATAAACTGAACCTCACTTAGTCGAGGTGTGTATATACACCACGAGGTCAGAAAAACACAAAATCATAAACAGTCTTCATTTCCATAACAAGTTGTCGCAAAAAGGTGGATCGCCTGTGATGCCGCGTCTTAACAGCACGGGGAATTCCGATGAGATTAAGGAAGTCAAGCTGGAAGCTAGTACCAATTTTGATTGTATTAGAGTGATTTATTCTAAAGTGGCTGCCTCAGCAGTGACAGGTAGTTATTGAAGATGCATAGGTTTTCTCAGGGATACTCCGATTCCGACGGTGACGACGATGATGATGACGATGATGATGATGAACGATGAGTGGTTTGATAATGACGATTTGAACGGAAGCAGCTCTCCACAAGCAGTAGTGAGGAGCCAATGAGGAACCGAACCAGTTGCTTCTCAATGATTGTCTCCAACGCTACCTAGACCGCATGAAGCAAACGAACGGTATTGATCTTCCATCGAGGTAGATAAGCTTTAGCATACCTTCTTATCAGTTAGATCTCGTGTATTTCAAACAATTTCAGGGGCGTCATTCAGGGTAACGAACTCGTCGTTTGGCGTCCCTTACCTGTGAGTCGAGATCCTTTCGATGACCCGACTATGAAGGGACGGATTCAGGAAGTGGATCATATTGATAACACATGTGAAGGTATCTACTTTTCTTAGTTAGCCCGCGTCCACAGTTTGCGGTCTTGCGTTCTTGCTCTCCCCATAGATGCATCTCGAACCAGTCAGACGCGGTCTATCGTTGACGATCATGCCATCAAATGATCATACGTATATATCCCACAATGGACTGCAATCTGAGTGCAAGGCAGTCGTAAGGTACAATCGCGGCCTCAAACCGATTTTGTTCGGTTCACAGTCTTCAAAAAATCGCGCACCGGAATTCGTTGTATTCTTACCTCGCATAAATGTGTCATATTTAACCACTAGTTGCAGCGTAAACGGTGCCATGCATGAAAATTGAGTCATTAAAAGGAACAAGCTTTCAAAAACTACACTTTTGACCACTATCGGGCATTTGGACGGCGCGGGAGCGAAGAAGAGCCAAGTACGTAGGGAGATTGCTACATATTGGTGACTTGTGAAAAGGTTTTGAATTCAACACTCCAAATTCAGGAAATGAGGCAAAATGTTTCAGCGCTATAAATCAGGATGAATAGACGGAATGAGTTTCAATGTGTTCAAACCGTAGGTGATGAGAACATATAGATATGCTTGTGACCGCACCCCAAGAAATAAAACGTCCGGCAGTATGTGAGCAGTTCTACGGCAGGATTTCGAAAGAACAATGGTTTCCCTAGTTCTAGATTGTGTGTTGAAACAAACGCAATTTTTCGTTCTTGTTCTGGAAGAAAAGTCTCAAAATATCGGTTCATAGGAGAGATCAGCACAGGCGGTTTCTGCGCACGACTCCTTTATTGTCGAGGGTTATTACGGAAAATGGCTCGAATATCCATGTTTCATTGCATGTGGTGGATGTATCCTCAATTTATAGATAACACATCGGAGTTCATCGTGGAAGGTGTAGATAGCGAGTCTGAAACGGATACTATGTCTGCTCAGTTCGATTCTCCACAGCCGTATAAGTCACAGATCGAAGAATTAGTTGAACAAGACGACGAATGCATGGAAATGGAATGTGACTAATGAATTGGCTTTGCTTATGCTACAAGTGGACTGTATTGAAGATACGAGTTCTAAAAGGGTAAGACGAGGGTGCAGTCGCAGCGACAACATTCATAACAAGGCTTTCAAAGACAATGTCGAATACTTCTTCATCTCCATTAGTGGAACGCCTCCCTTCCTACACAAGATGGACACTGGTTGCACACTATCCGCAAGCCAATTCTCTATGGAAAAAAATTCGAATTAGACCTGGTGTCAAAGTCCGCCTAAGCGTCGCGAGAATCGGCGCTGAACGTGTGTTCTGGAACACTGCAATGTGTCCGCGATCCATTACTCGTCAGTTGGCTCGCAATACCTGGCGCCCGCCATTTCTACTTCATTGTATGGTTGAAGGACGCAAACCTTATAGCATGATCCTACCTTGGTTCCTACTGCACTGTTTTAAATGATCACATAAGGACACTTAGCGGATTCTAGCGATTACGCAGGCCTGTCGCGCCGGAGATCTGACACGGCGCGCGTAGGTGTGGACGTCCGGGCTGAAGCTTTAAGGCTGCATTCATAGTCCGCGCCATTTCACAGCCCGTGCGGACGGCGTTTGTGGACAGCGCAGACTATGAAAGCAGCCTTATTGTTGCCGGGACCTACTATTGCGCCGCGATGCTCCTCCCTCTGTACATTAGCGCTTCGAAATTAGGTTAGGTTGATCTCGTATTATAGGCTTCATTTTGTAATTCTGTTAGCCGGAATTCTGTCAGTGGGGTATCTGTGATGTAATTATCTTCTCATGTTTGAGGGAGCTAATTTAGCCAGTTGTACTTATGTTGTGAATTTCAAGTTGTGCCTTTGGTATTTAAAAATGTGTTGCTTTCCTTGTTGCCATTGTTGTAGTGGTGCCCTATCGCCGAGGTATTATTTTGTTTTACCACAAAACCATTTTCAGACTTTCAGCGTTCTTATTGCGAAGTTATGGCGTTTGTTGGTAAAATAATGTTGTTTAAAGCTTATGTGTCGATGATCATCATGAATTCTTGTCAGATGTGTACGCTGTTAGCAGGCAGTCTAGCCGTTTTTATTTCTACTTGTACAGATATGAATGAATGTGATTTTGGAGGAATAAAAATGTTGATAGTAGCTTGAAGGCGGAGTCCATTCTCCTTCGGTTGTTTTGTGTTTTGCTTTTTTTGATCGGTTTGGAAAAGCCGTGCATTTCTGACCATGTTGCACCACATTAAATTGTGTTTTAGCTCTCTTTGTGATGAAGACGTTGTTGTCAAATTCCGCAGGAAAGGACAACCTCTGATTTTTTTGAAGGTCGACACCCAGGAAATAAAGTCGATATTTTTTGTTGGGTATTACACTTTATTCTGTCGTGCTCATGGCAAATTGTGTATACCTCAACTCACAGATCCGTGGTTGCAATGTCAACGTTCTGAATTGTGCTAGACCAGCGGGTGTCATAGGCCGATGTTAGACTTTGCGAATCGCGCAATTCGCTTTGCGGTCGCGTCGCGAGGCCGACGATCAACCTCATTGGCTGGTACCTTTTGGCAAACGCGACCGCGGAGCTAGCGATTCGCGTGCGATTGCAAAGTTTGACATCGGTCACATATAATCGGCAAGGTGAAACAAGAGCAACAACTCAACTTCTTCGCCACGCCGAAAAATGGCTTTTTGTCTTGAAGTTAACGTCCTTTCTAACGACTTCATTTTTAGCTGAAGATTATCACATTAGCATGTAGGCGTTTCATGCCATTAGGGGGACATTCGAATCAGGCTAAGCAGCATTATCCTGTCCTAAAGCCGAGTTTCATATGTTCTGCTTTGCTCTTCTTGTCTTCTGAAGTCAAGATGTTTAGAATCGTCTCAGGCACTGTATGAAACGACTTGGCAACGGGATAAACTTCGTACCTTACGAAATCGATCAAGTTCAAGTTGTTATGAACTGAGAGATGTTGTATGCGGTTCTTCTATTTTATTAATGGAGAGATAACTGCCAACATCGATTTGCCCATGAAAATGAATAATTGGGAACTGCGACTAAAAACATCAAAATATTTATCAGTGGAGTGTTTGATTAGCGTTGTTCCGCAGATTTCTTCTCGAAATGTAGCCGTGCGGCTGCATGGCATCTGAGTCCTCGACATAAACGGTCGCGTTTGTTTCTCTGAGATACTATTTTATTTTCTCTATCGCTGTCTGAAATACTATTTTGTTTTCTCTATCGCTCAATCGTTGATATTTGGTCTTGTAGCGTTAAGGTAGACAAGGACATCCCCACTGTGGCCCCGGGATGCTCAGAAGAGTAGTTTCCATTGTCTTATGGGTTTGAGTTTCATGGATTTAGAAAAATGCAGAAATAGAGTGTGGGGCTTGGAAGATAGTGGAACCGATGAATTCGCCATACGGAAATAACCCGGCGCCAACTAGCGCTGTTCTTCAAAGACAGGATGAGCCGAGCGTGGCAGTTTGATTTTCGCGCGCGGCCGCGGTCGGACCTCTGCACGCATCGCGTCCGCTCGCACCTGCGTTGATCGCCATCTGTGGCCTCACCTGCTCATGTTTCGGCTCCTCATTCCCACACAGGTGCATGTCGTCATCCGATTCCATATCTCTCGTAATGGCCTCATCTAAGAACTTGCGTGCCATCGATTTGGCGCCGTGCCAGCAGTTCTTTCTCGATCGATACCGACTTCGTCATTGTAGTGCGGCACAAAGCTCTTTCTACTCTTTCATTGGTTTGATCTTAGTTGTTATCATGCATTGTAATCGTTTACTCTCGTTTTGTGCCCTTCAAAGCGTTGCTTCGTTTTATCGTATGACGATGTTGCGTAATCGTGGTTGACTAATCGGCGTTGCTTCAGGGCGTTCTGTGACTGAGCACTGATTCCATTCAGAGTGCAGGTCACTTTTGCTTGGAGTTGGTATCCTTGCACCTGCAGGTATGGTTCTTTTTCTGTTAAGTTGTTATTAATGTTTTGCGAGTTTGTGGTCGAATTCTCATGTTGCTTACTTTGCACCATTTTCAAGCTATCACTTTGAATTTGCGGTTGGGTTTCATTAGCCACCTCTGAGTTGGCCCTGGTATTCGTGAATGGCATGCCTCAAAATGCTATTTTCTAGAAAGTGCCCTTGGACGAAGGCACTACGTGATGGCGAACGTAATCACAAACAAGGATTTCATAGTTGCAACCAAATATAAGCTCATTCGGAAGATCGGGTCAGGCTCTTTTGGCGATATCTATGTATCGATCAATGTCACGAATGGAGAGGAGGTAGCCATCAAACTTGAGAGCAACAGGGTTGGTTTTAGCTACAGTTATTTCATTGAACATTGTAAGTAAAGATGTAAATTGCCGTGTTCCGTTCTTTGTCTTGAAAGTAGTGTTTGAGGCTCGTCATCCGCAGCTCCTCTATGAGTCAAAAGTATATCGCATTCTTCAAGGTGGTGTTGGAATACCTCACATTCGTTGGTAGGTTTACATTTCATATTCATACCAAGTCATCATTACTTGAAGCTTGGTTCAAATCTTTCGGAGGATAGTGGTATTTTCCATGTTTTTTTCTTTTATTTTCAAGGCTCCCACGTAGCAGGATATTAGCAGAGCGTAAGCAGCCAATGAATGGCATTGTGTGGTTCAGAGCAAAGTAACCGCGTTTCTAGCTGTGCGTTACGGTTTTTCTCGAATATTAGATAGGGATATTGTGGAGTTCCAAGGTATTTAACCTACAGTGAGTAATTGTCGTAAGAAATAAATAGTTGGCAGGTAAAAGGGTAAACATTTTGACCAGCCTACCTCCTCGAACTTTAATAGTATGGATGGCGTGGAAGTGATGATACGAAAATTCGATTTCCCGCTTATCGCATGGCTGTGAATGGATTTATTGTCGATTAGAAGAATGGTAATGTGACCCTCTAAATGAATCCGAGAAAAGCTCGGCATCTGCCACTTTATACCTCTTCTTCTACTGGGGACTTCCAGTACTTTTTTGATTTCTTTTTGAATACCTAACATCCGAAAATTCAGTTTCTGATTCCATGCGTATGCTTCGTGCCCGTCTAGGAGTGGCGTTATCCCTAGCGCTATCCGCCCATTGACTTCTAAATATTGACTGACTTACTGAACACATTTCTGTTCGAGTACAACTTCAATTGGGCCTACAGGAATCTCCTAATTTGCATTTATCGACATCTCTGCTTTTCCAAATTTAGTCCTGGAGAATCATCTCTTTATCTCGCCTGCTGCCTAGCTGGTTCACTTAACAATGTTTTGTGTTCCCTAGTTTTACTGATGTTAAGATGTGAATTAATGTAGCGCACCTAAGCGTGCAATAAATAAATAAATAAATAAATTTCTCACGTAATCAAAGAGCTATGTATGCTAACATCTTCTCTATTTTTTTGTTTTGTGATCGAAGTCCTCGTATTGAGGTCAGCAAAACATGTTTATAGCGTGCGCAAATGTCACGTGCAGCGAAGTTTCAGAACTTTTTAGCATTTTGCTCGTTGTTTACAAAATTGAGGTAGTGTACTTCTGCTTCACACTTTCTTCGCTGCTAAGGTAGGTATTCAAATTGGGTTGTTCGTCATAAGTGATGATTTATCAGTTCGCGAATTCACTACCACAGTTTTTTTTGCAACAAAATTAGTGAAAATTGAATGAATTTGAGCTAGTGCATATACGAAGCAATGATCTGGGGAGATTCATACTTGAAAGGTTTCGAGGAAAGTTGGCATTTGTTTCTTTTACGGCTAACTTTCGCTTTTTAGACCTCACAGGGATTGAATCAAATTAAATGTCTGACGGTACCCAAAATACCTAGCACCATTTCATAATGTCTTTTTTGATAAGTTTTTCCCGTTCTCCGAAAACTAGCAGTAACTTGAAAATGCATTTTAGAAGTACACTCCAAATAGCCGGTTGAACAATATTATAATATTATTTTTGAGGCTTCCTATTTCACACACTGTTATTGAGGTAAACAACTTTTTGTTGCAGGTATGGCACAGAACGAGAGTACAATGTGTTGGTTATGGATTTATTGGGGCCTTCGCTTGAGGACCTCTTCAATTTTTGTTCACGAAGATTCACTATGAAGGTGAGAACTCTTGAAAATTTAGGTGAATGCCTAACTTATTATAAAGAGTGTCGAAGTGCGACAAATGCCAACGTTCTGCTAGATGGTTTAGTTGGGGAGATAGGGGGGGGGAGGTGAGCTAAAAGTTCTGTAACCATTCTCAAGATTATGGTAACATATTTGTTACCCGGGTTTGAACCGCGTGTACTAACTATTGTACATGTTGTGGGTACTTGCGTTGTTCTTGTGAATCCCGTTTAATCCTTTCATCGAAAACATTCATCAGACGATAGTCATTTCCAAATAGGCCGAAGCAATGATATCTGGAGGGAGGTGTTTTCTATCCTTTCCCTCCCCTCTACCTTGTGTACCATGACTGGCGAGTTTGTCTTGAACCGATACAGACATGGAGTTGAGATGGGAGAGAGGCAGGGTTCCTTGTGGCTAAGCGTTTAGAGCGCTTTTTCGAGCATTAATCGAAAGTTTATATCTATACGCGCGTACATCCTCCGCTTTTCTTCGAGTCGGCATTTAAGAGCAGTTCATCATGTTGTGTCATAGCTCAACCGTGGTTCATTTTTTGACATTTGGGATCGTTTTTTATAGACGGTCTTTCCTGCAACCTCTTCTCGATGTGCGGCTGAGATTTGTGACGCGATAGTTCCTGAAGAGTGATTTGGCATGAATATAAGCATTCTACTCGTTTGGCCCGAATACAAGCATGATGCGCGCCAAACGCCGACGTTAAACCGTTTATAAGGAAGCGAACGTGGTGTTATACCCTGCTTGGGTGCCCACACAGCGGATATGTTGTGCGTTTTCATACTAGACTACGGTGTCATGTTAAGAAGTATGTTATTACCTCGATCACGAATTTCTAGCCCTCTAGCAATTTGTTTGACATGTAGCTGAAAAAACCATGCAACTAACAACATATGGATCAAAAGCATCCCGATAAGTAAGCATCCCCTGGTTCTGGGTATTAAGCGATCTCCGAACATTGAATCGACTTTGACTTCAGATTCTTTGGCCATTCTCCGCTCCGAACGAATTTCAGAACGCTCTGCAGAACTGGATCCTTGGATGTTTCTTCCGCTATTTTCTTCGCATCGACTGGTAACTTCGATATTGCATTGACGAATATCGTGTACGAGTCTTTTTTCGATTGTGGCAATAACTAGTAGATCCTGAATTTTCGGTTGATCCGCGATGAGACGAGGTATGGCGTCTGCTTGTCCGAAGCTGGAGGTACTTCGGTATTCGATAGTGAAGTCGGAGTTCTTCACTATGAGAGCCCAGTGCTAGAATCGTTACTTAAAAATAGCATCTCTCCTTCCATTGCTTCCCCAAAAATGCGAAAGTTGTGATCAATTAACAGCTTGAAATGACGTCCGTATATAAACGGTGGAACTTCCGTAAGGCTAGCGTTATAGCGAGAGCCTCATTCTCGGCTTGACCGTAATTCTTCTCGGCAGCTGTCGGTGAACTGGTAAATTGCTTTCTCTGTCAGTGATACATCCACTCTCCTATCCCATACCCCGATTCTCGACCTCGATGACGATCTTTCCCTGTGTATCGTAGGGTGAGCAAAAATCGAGGCTAGCTCATCCTTGGCGTTGGAATGCGTCTTGGCACTCGGCAGGCCATTTGAACAGGACGCTCTTCTTCAGTATATCATCCAACGGTGCGCGTAGTTGTCACATCTCACTGATGAAGTGTCCGTAGTAGGTGTAGTAAGTGAAGTGAGCACATCCTAGAACGATCGCATCTGCTCGATGCCGTATGGTGTGCAAATCGTTGCGAATAGTTCCCGAATCTATCTTAGCGGGTGGGTCGGCGTTTCCGTAGCAATCGATTATATTCTAAACTTGTCGGAGTTTCGGCATTAAGAATTGCAATTCCGATCCGGAGACAAAAGCCGTCAGTCGAATATCCTTCGAACAATAAAGTCCAAATTGGCTACGTCCAACTCAATATTGCGCCTGAAACGTCGGGGCAATTGTGCAGCGCGGCCTTATGAGCCCGCAAATAATATAACACTGATTTGCTGAATATACGGGTGCATACTTGTCGCCAAGCGGGAGACGATTGTAGGCGTATCTCTGTGTGATTAGATGGTTAAAAAGCTCACCTCGCCATCGTCGTCGACTCCACTGTAGATAACATCCTCAGTTTATTCTGCGTAATGCAACCATTGAGCTTCGTAAAAACGTCGTCCGGAGTTGGTAGTGGATGTTGGTGCAGCATGAGGGCTTCGTTCAGGCCCGTCGAAAAGTCAGCACAAAGTCGTAGCGTTCCGTTTGCTTTCTTGATGACGACGATCGGCGCAGCCCAAGCAGAGTAATCCACTGGGGAAAGTAACTTGTTCTCCAAGTAGGCGGTTCGCATGTGACGAACTATTATGTCGTAGGCACGGCGCTCCTTATAAAAACGGAGTGGCATCGGTTTAGGTTAGGGTGCCTCGTCTGAGGCATCATCCTCAGCCTGTCTGAACAACGTCATCTAGGGCCCTTCAAGCTTGGCGACGATTTATTCTCTGTCGCCCAGATTGGGCTATGGTCAGCAATCGCTGACATTATCTTGTAGCTGGATCCATCGCAGCTTCTGGAATCTTCTGGATATCCCCAACCGAAAATGACGAGGCTGTCGTAACATAACGGTCTTTCTGTACTACGATTTTTCCATCGACCTCATCACAACGTCATTCTAGATTGGTTTGGAATTCGTTCCATTCGGCGCTTTTACTGACCGGTTACAGTTTCGTAGTTGCGGGCCTCTCATTGTCTTTCAGCTCGATTTGAGCGCAGCGCGATCATTTGAACGTCCAGTATCGAGTAAAAAGATCGTCAGGGATACCGCATTCACATTTCATACGTCCAGGTGTTGATGTGCTGTGCGTAAAGCCGGCCTGAATGCTTTGGGGGACACTGAGCTCTTGTGCCGTAACCGTCTTTCTGTGATGAACGTGATGTTGATTACTATAATTCTCAAATGTTTTGCCGATGAAGCGCTGGTTTTCTTATGAAACTTTCGTTCCTGCTTCTATTTGAAATTTCTTCTCTTCCTCTTGTTGACATGGTTGATCGTAACACTAGCATTACTTTTTACAGCATTCTGTCGTCTTCTTTGTACGACTTTATAAGTTGGCCCTCAGCAGTGAGGTCTTTGATCGTAATATCCCTCACTTTGATCAGTTTCCTTAGCAGCCGTGATCTGTAGTCTGCAAATGCAGCTCCCTGGAATCCTGCGACGCAGATAGGGCACTGCAGACCATCAAAGTTGATGGAGTCGAATTTGGCATCAAAACATCGTGTTCGAACAAGTGTCTCATAGCTTTACTGAATTTTAAGATGTTAAAAGTTCGCGACGAATGACGTGAAACCCAGAAGCCGAAAAGGCGGTCCATAAGAACATAAACCCTTCATCCATGAATTCTGACGGCGTCGCGGGCAATCGGACCCGCAGAAGACGGCCTGGTCATAAACGAGTCTCTCCTCGATCACTCCAGCTCTGTACAGTCTTCGTCGAAGAACGTCCTACGAAATCTTTGCACTCAAAACGTTCTTCGCGTTGAATTGAACTGTCAACGTGCAGCGCACAGGGTCCGAAACATTGTTCTTGCAGCGCTGATCACCTCATCATCCGCATCTACATCTTCTCTAGAGCTCGAAGGAAGGAGCCAGATGTTTCCTTCTGCTGCATCTGCATGAATTCCAGCGTCTTCTCCAGGTTTCCCATTCGGCTCTGCATGAGGGAAAGAATTTTAGCCAGCTTGTCTATGAGTCCTTGAGCCTGATGGCCAAGTCTATTACACAGTTCCTTAGAAATTTTATTGCAAGGATAAACTGAACATCATTACCGATTGTATATACACCACGAGTCAGAAAAACACAGATCAAAAACATCTCAATCATAAACAAGTTGTCGCAAAAAGGTGGATCGCCTGTGATGCCGCGTCTTAAGAGCACGGGGAATTCCGATGAGATTAAGGAAGTCAATGGAAGCTAGTACCAATTTTGATTGTATTAGAGTGATTTATTCTAAGGTGGCTGCCTCAGCAGTGACAGGTAGTTATTGAAGATGCATAGGTTTTCTCAGGGATACGTCCGATTCCGACGGTGACGACGATGATGATGACGATGAGTGGTTGTAACCAATGAACAGATTGAACGGAGCATGCAATCTCCACAAACAGTAGTGGAGGACCAAATAGGAACTCAACCAGTGTTCCATGATTGTCTCCAACGCTACCTAGACCTCCGCAATGAAGCAACCGAACGTATCGACTTCCATCGAGGTATATAAGCCTTAGCATATTCTTTCTATCACGTTCAATGGAAACTTCCACATCTCTTTTCCGAACGTAACCTATAATAACAATTCATTGATTTTTTTTAAATCCCATAGCGAAAACCTAGCCAATCAGAAAACAAAAAGAACCATTTACTTTTTTTCACGCCGAGTTGCTAAACTTTTGGACCAAAACCCCAATCACTGAGGTTGGATGGTACATCAAAAAAAGAACCAAATGTGTCAACTTTGTAGCCTTCTTATCAGTTAGATCTCGTGTATTTCAAACAATTTCAGGGGCGTCATTCAGGGTAACGAACTCGTCGTTTGGCGTCCCTTACCTGTGAGTCGAGATCCTTTCGATGACCCGACTATGAAGGGACGGATTCAGGAAGTGGATCATATTGATAACACATGTGAAGGTATCTAATTTTAATTACATCGTCGCCAACAAGTGCGGTTCTTGCGTTCTTCTCCCAGCAGATGCATCTCGACCGTGCGCGCTTTACCCGGTTGACGATCAAGGGGGGTGGGTGCCATCAAATGATCAATACGTTTATAATCCACAATGGACTGCAATCTGAGTGCAAGGCAGTCGTAAGGTACAATCGCGGCCTCAAACCGATTTTGTTCGGTTCACAGTCTTCAAAAAATCGCGCACCGGAATTCGTTGTATTCTTACCTCGCATAAATGTGTCATATTTAAGCACTAGTCAGCGTAAACGTGCCATGCACTGAAAACTAAGTCCTATTAAAAGAACCAACCCTAAACTACAACCTTCTGGCCACTATCGGGCACTTGACGGCCGCGGACGAAATAAACCAATACGTAGGAGATTCTACATATAACTTGTGAAAAGCTTTGAATCACACTCCAAATTCGGAAATAATCAAAATGTTCAGCGCTAAATAAATCAGATAGAATAGAGAATGAATTTGCAACCATAGTGATGAACATAAAGATAATTCTGTGACTTCAACCAAGAAATAAATGAAACGCCGCCGCCAAATAATTTACAGTCTTCGCAGAATCGGAAAAGAGCAATATTTCCGATTTTAGAATTGGGTGTTTGAAACAAACGCAATTTTCGATTCTAATCTGACGAAAATCGAAAATCAATCGTTTCATAAAGATAGCATCAGCCAGCGTTTTTCGCGCACGGACTCCTTAATTGTCGAGCGGCTATTACGGAAAATGTTTCATTGCATGTGGTGGATGTATCCTCAATTTATAGATAACACATCGGAGTTCATCGTGGAAGGTGTAGACAGCGAGTCTGAAACGGATACTATGTCTGCTCAGTTCGATTCTCCACACGCCGTATAAGTCACAGATCGAAGATTATTGAACAAGACGACGAATGCATGGAAATGGAATGTGACTAATGAGTTGTTTGCTTATGCTACAAGTGGACTGTATTGAAGATACGAGTTCTAAAAGGTAAAGGTGCATCGCAGCGAACAACATTCACTAGCTTGGGGAAAACCATGCAAATATTTTCATCCCATTATGTGAACCCCTTCCTTCCTACACAATCGAAATGGTACACACATCCCGGAGTTCTCTATGAAAAAAATCGATTAGACTGGTGTCAAAGTCCGCGATACGTGCCGTGCCGTAAGCCGTCGTGCGCGAATCGCGACGATACGAAACCGGGCATGTCCATCAATGCTGTCATTTGCTCCAATACTGCCGCCATTTCCGCTACTTCAATGTTATGTTTAAGACGACTATACATGATCCTACTTGGTCCTACTTCAACTGTTTTTAAATGATCAACATAGCAACTGCTCTTGTCGATTCGAGCGTCGTCGCGGACTCTGAAACACCAGCTAAGGCTGCATTCATAGTCCGCGCCATTTCACAGCCCGTGCGGACGGCGTTTGTGGACAGCGCAGACTATGAAAGCAGCCTTATGTTGCCGGGACCTACTATTGCGCCGCGATGCTCCTCCCTCAGTACATTAGCGCTTCGAAATTAGGTTAGGTTGATCTCGTATTATAGGCTTCATTTTGCAATTCTGTTAGCCGGAATTCTGTCAGTGGGGTATCTGTGATGTAATTTATCTCTCATGTTAGAGCTAATTAAAAGCCAGTTTGTACTATGTTGTGAATTTCAAGTTGTGCCTTTGGTATTTAAAAATGTGTTGCTTTCCTTGTTGCCATTGTTGTAGTGGTGCCCTATCGCCGAGGTATTATTTTGTTTTACCATAAAACCATTTTCAGACTTCAGACGTTTATGCGAAGTATGCGGTTGTTGGTGAATAATGTTGTTATTAAAAGCCCCTATGTCGATGATCACATGAATTCTTGGTCAGAATTAGTACGCTGTCTAACAAGGACGTCCTAAGCCGTTTTTATTTCTACTTGTACAGATATGAATGAATGTGATTTTGGAGGAATAAAAATGTTGATAGTAGCTTGAAGGCGGAGTCCATTCTCCTTCGGTTGTTTTGTGTTTTGCTTTTTTTGATCGGTTTGGAAAAGCCGTGCATTTCTGACCATGTTGCACCACATTAAATTGTGTTTTAGCTCTCTTTGTGATGAAGACGTTGTTGTCAAATTCCGCAGGAAAGGACAACCTCTGATTTTTCGGTAATCATTCTCAAGGAACTCGTCACAACGCCCACAAATAAAGTCGAATAAATTTCATTGACACTACAACTTATATTCAATCTCCAGCATTGTGTATACCTCAACTCACAGATCCGTGGTTGCAATGTCAACGTTCTGAATTGTGCTAGACCAGCGGGTGTCATAGCCGAATGACAGACTTTGCGAATCGCGCAATTCGCTAGCGTCTGCGGTCGCGTCGCGGCCAGTGAATCACTCAATTGGCTGGTACCGCAACGCGACCGCGGATGCTAGCGATTCGCGTGATTCGCAAAGTCTGACATCGGCCTATGTAATAGCATGGAAAAAGAGCAAGCAACATCAAACATTCTTCCGCAACGCCGTACGAAAAATGGCTTTTTGTCTTGAAGTTAACGTCCTTCTTCTGGGACTACTCATTTTTAGCTGAAGATCATCACATTAGCATGTAGGGCGTTCATGCCATTAGGGGGACATTCGAATCAGGATAAGCAGCATTATCCTGTCCATAAAGCCGAGTTTCATATGTTCTGCTTGCTCTTCTTGTCTTCTGAAGTCAAGATGTTTAGAATCGTCTCAGGCACTGTATGAAACGACTTGGCAACGGGATAAACTTCGTACCTTACGAAATCGATCAAGTTCAAGTTTTGTAAAAATGTTATGAATTGGGAGATATTGTTGTATGCGGTTCTTCTATTTTATTAATGGAGAGATAACTGCCAACATCGAATTGCCCATGAAAATGAATAATTGGGAACTGCGACTAAAAACATCAAAATATTTATCAGTGGAGTGTTTGATTAGCGTTGTTCCGCAGATTACTTCTCGAAATGTAGCCGTGCGGCTGCATGGCATCTGAGTCCTCGACATAAACGGTCGCGTTTGTTTCTCCGAGATATTATTTTATTTTCTCTATCGCTGTCTGAAACACTATTTGTTTTCTCTATCGCTTAATCGTTGATATTTGGTCTTGGAGCGTTAAGGTAGACAAGAACTTCCCCTTGTGGCCCCGGGATGCTAAGAAGAGTTTTCCATTGTCTTGTGGGTTTGAGTTTCATGGATTTAGAAAAATGCAGAAATATGATCGGTGGCTTGAAGTATAGTGGAACGAATGAATTCGCACACACGGAGAAATAGGATGGACCCAACTGCGACAAACCAGCCTGTTCTCACAAGAACGATGAGCGAAGCGTGGCAGTTTGTTTTTCGCGCGCGGCCGCGGTCGGCCCTCTGCACGCATCGCGTCCGCTCGCACCTGCGTTGATCGCCATCTGTGGCCTCACCTGCTCATGTTTCGGCTCCTCATTCCCACACAGGTGCATGTCGTCATCCGATTCCCTATATCTCTCGAATTGCCATCATACTAAATTGCGTGGCCATCGATTGGCGCCCGTGCCACAGTCCTTATCACGATCGCAATACCCTGACTAGCGATCATTTATGCCGCATCAAAGCGTTTCAACTCTTTCATGGTTCATCTACTTATCGGTCATTAGTAATCGTTTACTCTCGTTTTGTGTCCTTCAAAGCGTTGCTTCGTTTTATCATATGACGACGTTGCGTAATCGTGGTTGACTAATCACCGTTGCTTCAGGGCGTTCTGTGACTGAGCACTGATTCCATTCAGAGTGCAGGTCACTTTTGCTTGGAGTTGGTATCCTTGCACCTGCAGGTATGGTTCTTTTTCTGTTACGTTGTTATTAATGTTTTGCGAGTTTGTGGTCGAATTCTCATGTTGCTTTGCACCATTTTCAAGCTATCACTTGAAAATTTGCCGGTTGGGTTCACTACCTCTGTTGGCCGTGTATTCAGTGAATGGCATGCCTCAAAATGCTATTTTCTAGAAAGTGCCCTTGGACGAAGGCACTACGTGATGGCGAACGTAATCACAAACAAGGATTTCATAGTTGCAACCAAATATAAGCTCATTCGGAAGATCGGGTCAGGCTCTTTTGGCGATATCTATGTATCGATCAATGTCACGAATGGAGAGGAGGTAGCCATCAAACTTGAGAGCAACAGGGTTGGTTTTAGCTACAGTTATTTCATTGAACATTGTAAGTAAAGATGTAAATTGCCGTGTTCCGTTCTTTGTCTTGAAAGTAGTGTTTGAGGCTCGTCATCCGCAGCTCCTCTATGAGTCAAAAGTATATCGCATTCTTCAAGGTGGTGTTGGAATACCTCACATTCGTTGGTAGGTTTACATTTCATATTCATACCAAGTCAATAATTACCTGAAATTGTTCAATTTTCCGGAGAAATAATGGTAATTTTCATCGTGAACCCACAAAATGCTCGATCTTGGGAATTCATTTCTAACTTTACGCTAACGTTGTTACATTCGGGCAACTGTTAAACACGCTAGACTTGATTGTGTTGGGACATATGGAATTTTCTATAAATGTGTGCAGAGAATTAATTAGTGAAGCTGTTCAACGTTCGTTGATCCACACCCTGATCTCTGGGCAGCCAGTACGGTTAGCACACAGAGTTCACTTGGGGGGGATCTGACGCTGTTATTCTTAAGAGTTTCACCACTTTATTTCGAATTTGGTGTGTAGTTTTGCTTGATGCGTTTAATTTTTTTAATTTATGTTTTATGACAGTGTTATGCTTTGCGGGGATCAATGATCGGATTCGCAATGGAATACGTGGCATGTTGAGAATTTGTATTTCATGGCATAATCAAGCCTGACAACTTCCTTATGGGAATCGGACGACATTGCAACAAATTGTTCCTAATCGATTTTGGACTTGCAAAAAAGTAAGGGTGCCATAATTTTTTTAGCTCTTGAATATTTTTATTTAATGAACATTCGTAGGTTTACAAGTTGAGTTACTGTTCTTGAAAATTGAATGTCGTTGTGCTGTACTTAAATTCTTTCCATTCCTAGTAGGTTTCTTTTATCCTTTAATTGTTTTAGAGTTTACCCTATAGAATAAAACCTCGGTGATCTCAAAAGCTAACGTGTAACCCCTTCACTCAGAACCAGCTTCATCTGTTACTTCCTAGTTATATGTGCTGTTAATCCTTTTTCAAATTGTTCCGCCTTTCGGCTCAACTCACAACAGTTGTGAATACGCCTAGTGTGCTTCTTTCAATGAATTAACTGCTTTAGGTTCCGAGACTCGCGCACCAGAACACACATTCCTTATCGAGAGGATAAAAATCTCACGGGTACGGCGCGATATGCTTCTATAAATGCTCATCTTGGAATTGAGCAGAGCAGAAGGTTCGGACCATTTTTTTTTTACTTTCTAGTTTTTTTTAACAAAGTAAACAATATGTTCAGAGATGATATGGAATCCCTGGGTTATGTATTAATGTATTTCAATCGTGGAACTCTTCCTTGGCAAGGTCTCAAAGCGGCGACCAAAAAGCAGAAGTATGAAAAAATTAGTGAGAAGGTACGTGTTTGTTTTGTTTAAAATAAGGCAAATGGTACAAAGAACAGAATTTCTCTAGCATTATTGACTGAGTTCACTCGGTTGGATTATTCACAATAGAGCTGTAACCACCGATTGTAAAGCCGTGTAGGATGTAACCAAATATTTGAAAGAGCTCCCTTTTTTGGTGGAATATCGACTTCGTTGTGAAACTGAACGATTTGCTTGTTTACAAAGGATAAAATCGAAAAAGGATAAAGCATTTGCCGTTGATCAATCCCTTTTTGGGATGCGGCACGCATTCTACTTCCATTTGTACATTCGTAGTGGCGTTTGAATGCGATGTGGCCTATACAATGACTTGCGGGGGCCAGCCGATGCCGATGTACAAGTCAGTGTTTTTATCCTCCCAGACAAGTCTGGTACCAATTAACCGACCCCGGAGGGATGGAAGGCTTGGTTGGCCCGGGCACGACCCAGGATTTGATCCCCGGACCGCTCGCGTGGTAAGCGTGCCACTTGCCACTACACTTCCGCCCTTTCTTGCAAAAGCTCAACGAATATGTGATTTTTGCGAAATGATTCAAAACCAACCAATGTTTCCTTTGAGGTTTTCAATGAATGATCTGCTTTTCAGAAAATGTCAACATCGGTGGAGATGCTCTGTAAGGGTTTCCCTGCCGAATTCCCCATGTACTTGAACTACACTCGTGGTCTTCGCTTCGACGAAGCTCCGGACTACATGTACCTGCGCCAATTGTTTAGAATTCTTTTCCGTACACTCAATCATCAGGTAATATATTCTTCCCATATCGTTTTTGCTCATAATCCAGCCTCTCGCATCCTAGGCCTGCCTTTCATTTCTCTCACTGTGGTATATATTTTTTTCTGTCAGAGTACAGCTCAGTACGCTTGAAGCACGCTTGTTTAGGATTCCCCAACGCTTCGACATTTTTTGAAATGTTGCCTCTGCGCTCCAGCCAAAACACTTGATTACTCGCAAGGTTGCAATGCAATGAACCTCCAATCATAGGGAGTTCTCCACTGAAATGTGTGACGCTTTATCCAACATAATTATTTGTTCAACACTTGTTGTGCACTGCTTAACACCTGAACTTGCTTCCTATGTTATCTGTACCTAAAATATCCACTAAACCTGGCACCAAACCTAATCCTAGATTTTAGAGTATAATTTATTGCAAGGTACAAAAGATCGCTCAGCATTACGTACATCCCTGAATAATTGTGACTTTTCTATTGGTGAAAAGGAGATTGAGCTAATCGGTTGTCTATGCGATCCCTTTCTATGTTTTAAACATTAAGAAGTCTGAACAATCAAAGAAATAGAGATCATACCAAAGACCGAAAACCATACGGCGCAAGGTCCTGTCACAAACATGGTAACATGGAAGATATCCTGTGAATACAGTCTGGATCGACTCTTGACTGACTGCCCAAAGAAAACCATCATTGGATAAACTTTCGAATGATCATTTTTTTTCACCAAGTTCTTTTTGGGGCGCTATATTCCAGTTATAGATGAAAAAAAATACCAATAAGAATAGGATAGAAGGATCTTCGACACCCAACCTGCTCTACAGTCTGTCCAAAGTGATTGCCATGAATTTTTCTTGAAGTAGCAGGGTCTGAATGATCCCTGACCTTCAGGCATGTTCAAGTGTGCGTTGCTGAGAGATTGGTTTTTAGACAGAATGTTCCAAAACTCTACGAGTCGCTGGATGGGTACGGCGCTGCTAGCCGTTAAGAACGCACTTGAAGTTTCTTTGATTTCATGGATGTTTCCGCCCGTGAAAATTGGCGTAAAAAGTGCATCCCGCTTATATTGGTCGATAGTATTTTGGGGGTTCTGAACCATTTGTGGGTATGTAGGTGAACTATTTTGTAGGGCGAAGTAGTTCGCTTATGGGGTTGTTCGTTCGTGTAACCTGCTTGGCGCTCCTGTCCATGTCGTCGCGAGCTACCTTCTTGGGGTCATTCTTTCGAAACTATCAATCGTTTGTTTCACTGATAGTTTTTCTTCATTTTGCTTGACAACATTACGTCAACAATATCTCATTTCAGTACGACTACACTTTTGATTGGACTATGCTGAAGCAGAAGGCGTCACAATCGCAAAACACTATGCTCCAACCAGGAGCTAGTGGTTCTCAGCAGCCGATGCCTATCGTCTCGCCTGCTCCACCACAGCAGTAATCGACTGTGACGCGCCCCAATTGTCAGTTCATGGATGTCCTCAGACAGAACCCCTCTTCTACCATGTGTTTCTCTCTCTACATGCACAACTTTTTCTGTGGATTTGGGACAACTCCATGAAGTGTTCTATTAGGTTTTACTATTCACCGTCGTTCCACATCCTCTTCAAATATTTCTTACTATTTGTGTTGATTTTTGCTACCTGTCGGCTCCATACATTTACGTTCGCGTGGTGCGAATTGTAAATGTTGTAAAAATTCAAATGCTCTTCCACAGCAATTAAATGGTTTGGAGGATGTGTTTAATGTTGAACTGATTTTGAATGCGCCACCGCAAATCGCCGACAAACACAATTTAGTCAATTTGGCGTGTCCCCGATAATTTTTTTTCCATATGTTTGATGTCGATTTGGGTGTATTCCTGATAAAGACTTGTTTATTGAGGTTGGTTCTCTGATTTTGGTTTACAAAGTGGGGCAAACGGGGTGAATGGGTGTGTTTTCGGAAAGGCATGTTCAACTATTATCGTCTTCCCAAAAGTTGCACGTAAAATTTGAACTTTGAGCAAGGCGTCCTTACTGGGTTAGTTAACTGCTATTTCCACGATTATAACTGTTCTTGAAAACTGTTTTCGGATGCTGTTTAAATTATGGCGCAATCTGCCCCACGCAACATGATGGTTTTATTTCTGAGTTTTTTCTTCAAAGGAATTCGTGTGGGTCAGTTTTGTTTCTGGATGGATCGATGGTCTAAAGTCTTCTGGGAGCAGCTATGGCATGACTAATTGAAAAAAAGGGCTCAATGTCGATGGGGAGAATCTAGAGGAAATCCAGTTTTTTTTATCTGCCATTACGTATAACCGTGCGGCTTCTTCTAACATTCCAGGTGCAGAAGTCGTTGCATGATACGATTTGTGCCCGATAATTTCGTATGCATCCTTAAGGTTTTAAGCTGAATGAGTGATGAATAGATCAGCTCCCAACTTGAATTTTTTATAGTCAAGTAGGTGAGATCTGATAGGGTTAGGCTGCTATTTTATAATGTTGTTTGTAATCACCATTCATAGCACAGAAGCAAACAGCCGACGTTTCTAATGGAGCGTATGCTGAATTTGGGAGAGGATGGGGTCCTCCGAGGTGCGAATACTTACTTCATCTGTCTTAAAATAGCTCAATATGATGCTTACCTTAGCTAAGTTCAAGAGAGGACGGACCTGCGAGAACGCAGATGGCCTCTCCTAGGCTTAGTCTGGGTAAAGCAACGCCTGTTGGCGAGGCGGACCATGCACAATTTGGTCATTATTGCTCTATCCGGCACCGACGAGTGCCATTAGTCCGTCATTATCGTCGGCCCGCATCGCCGTAAAGACTTAGGTGATGTGAAAAGGTCTTTTACTGTACAGTCATTGCAGTATCTCTTGTGCACACGTTCATAGCTCCGCTGCTGCTCCATTGGCCTGTTTTCACTTACGATTGAGAATACTATCCCTTTGCGTTTCTTGTGGGCTTGTGCTGAATGTGAGGTAAGGTATGCCGCGGGCGAGGCTTTCAATCGTGGTCCGTACATGGAGAGTTATTGACGCCAAGGGTGCTTGGTTTATCCTCACATATGGCATTGGGATAGAGGACGGATTGCGCTCCTCGTCGCAGTGGTCGTCTCTTATTTGAGGCTAAGTCCTACGTGAGCAGTCAAATTTAGATGTTCTAAGGAAGCGAATTGAAGTAGGCTCGACGTCGGGAGCCGATCCCTCTCCGACGTCGTGGACTAACTCAGGCATATAAAGATGTCCCGCATACGCCCTAGAAAGCCAAAGAACTGGTTTGCTCCTTCAAGGCCTTTACAGTTCACGGTGTATGGGTTATTTTCTGGGAAAATGATGCAGATGTTTCCGTTCCGGTGCCTGAGTAGGAATCTGATTAAGCAAGGCGGACAGGAATTATGAAAATAAACATGTCGTTACTAATCTATTGGTGGGGTCTGAAATTGTTGTCTCATGAGTGAGCTTGCCGTTTTTGTCTTCTTTACCGCATGCTAAATCCATTCCCGTGCTCAAATAAAATGGTTCTCGCACAAAATAAGAGCACGATTGAGATGGACGGGAATTAAAAAGGTAAAAGGCAAAAAGGAATCACTCATAAATCGGGGAATATTGATTTAAAGGACGAATTCACGATGAAAAAGCAACCCATTTCAAATTAACCTAGGGATGGTGAGTGGTACACGAAAGAAGGAAGAACCATGAGAAACGGCCCAGAACCCGAGAAATGGTACCCCTTCCTTGCCCGTTGATTCGAGCATTGATGCGACTCTCATCGCTGTGCCCTCTTCAACACTACGCTCTCTCAGCTATCTAATCACTCGCCACGTATTGAACTACGGCGAGTGATCAGATGATCGGTGGGCGGAGATCGCCGGACCCGCCAGCTTTGAGGCATGATAGGTCGCCGAGGTCAAATTTTTCCATGCGAATTGCGCGTCAGTTCGCACCCTCAGGAGGTCCGTGGGTCCCTCAACTAGGTCAGTTTCCCTTTCTTCGACCTTCATTCTAATCGTGAATTCCTCCTTTAATATAAACTGAATGTGCAATCAAACACATATCTCGAAATCGTTATTGCTTAATAAAGCAAGTGAGTCAGTGTTTTTTTCTGTGGTTATGTATTATAGTTGGGATCTGATAGGGATGCTGCTATTTTAGGTGATGTTGTGACTTATTCAAGGGCACATTTCACGACTTTCCCTGCTATGGGTTATTTCGTAGGAAAATGAGAGCTGGCTTCTCTGTTACTCAAACAAGAATGAAGAGATCATGCTAAACTTGCTAGTATCATAAAAGCGCATTTTAATCTCATCGTAGGGTGAGAGTCATCTAAAAATTTGCTAGTTACACTTCTTATAAGTGGCCTTTCTTAGTATAACTTACCTAAAGTCCAATTAGTTCCCAAAAGATGTTCTTGCACAGAATCGAAAGCTCTATCCGACTTTGCTGACTGTAAGGCCTATGCCAGACTTTGCGAATCGCGCGATTCGCTAGCGTCCGCGGTCGCGTTGCGGTACCAGCCTACTGAGTGACTCACTAGACGCTAGCGAATCGCGCGATTCGCAAGTCTGACATCGGCCTTGAGGCACAAACTTTAGCATAAGGAACAGAAAACAAGTGAGAGAGTACAATGTGATGAGAGGGCGCGAACACACAAACACTAGTTGCAGTCGAAGAAGATAGAAGCGATCGAAGCGGCATTGGGAAGGCCCTGGCGCTGTTTTCGAGCACTTTTACGTCGAGAGGGATATCTGCGACCTTAGTGAACGGCTTTGACCTCCCGCAGAATGCATTACTCGTTACGAGCTCATCCAGCTCATCCGCGATTGTTGCTTTAGGCAAGCGCTCACGAGAGGGAAACTGACACAACCAGAACGGCGCGGAATAAATCTCGCGCGTTTTGTAGCGTGCGGGGCATGGAGCATATTTTTTCCATATACTCTGTAATCATTTCTTATTGAGATATTATACGTAGCTTTTGGCTGTGAAGGGTGTTGGTTCATAATGTTCACCTGATTTTTTCCCCTGGGCATGGGCTGATGGAACAATGCATCATCCACTGGCACGGATCGACAGAAAAATGTCCGAACAGCTAAGCACAGCTGCGACATATGTACATATGCAAAGCACATGTGATGGCACAAAACTATGGGACATTTATTATACATATATGATTTTGAAGGTCACGTTAAGCAGCGCGGACTTCGGTAATGCTCATTGTTAGTTTCAGGACTAACCTTTAGTAGAGGAAAAAAGTAGTGTTTCCAAGCATTTCCATTTCTCCAGTAATTCCTCCTCCCCCCTTCCCAGGCTTAGCGCTTGCTGTTGCTAGCGAAATCGAGGTGTTCAACTATACAAGTTTTGGGTCCAAGCCCCGACGCGAATAGCCCCTGCGGCGGTGATTGTTCCCCCCCCCCAAACTAAGTTAGCTCCCTCGCCTACTTGTCTTTTTCATTTTCTTCTTATCTAATCGCCCACTCGCCTAAGCCTGATCGCCTGCATATTGAACTCTAAACAACACCTCAAGGATGTTTATGCATTCAGTGAGATAAGCGCAATCACAGTTATCACATCTTTGCGCGAAATGGGAGTAGGGTTCCATTCGTCGACGTCTTTCACGAGTGCCGCTCAACATTGCAACTCCCTCCAAATTCGTAAGTGGAGAGTTTACACTGCTGCTTGCGCCCTTGACGCTCATGTGGTTGGAGGAGGGGGTGGGGGACACTCACGTGCATGAGCCACTTCTAGCACTTGGAACTGAGCTACAGTGAGGGAAAGGGACTTTGGAGGAGGATGTGAGTAGTTCGTGTTCTCCCTGCGTTTGTTCCCTCTCCTGGGCTTAGTCCTAGCGTCACCTACCCGTCGGCCCTGTTTTGAATGTCCCCCCCCCCACAAGGACATGAACACCCTTTAGTTTAGGGAAACCTAACCACCATAAGGTCTAATCGAGCAGAACCCTTGCCGATTTTCGCGTAACCAGTCTGATACGAGTTCCATGCTTGCAACTTCAGAAAAGGCGTTATTTCTACGGTTTTTTTGCGGACAATACAGGATGGAGGAGAATGAAACGCTGAGTGCTGTTATGTAATATCTCCAGAATAGCCAGTTGTGAATCCGATGGGAGTGGGGATTCCTGAGTTCCGCAACAATGTTGAATCGATCAACATTTTGCTCTAGGTCTTTCAAGCAACTAAGCTTCAAGAGCATAGTTGCATCATTGCACCGTTATATCTCATCTATGGATGATGTTTGATAGAGGTTTAAGGATCTCCCATTCTCAGGTCTTAGGCAGCGTACGGATGGCGGTTATGGTTATGGTTCGATTGGACGATTATGCATTAGGCGAGCAGGTGATAAGAGAAGGATGCGTATTGATTTGTGGCTCAGCTCATTGAGTGATCGCCTACTGGCCTAATCGCCTAATCGCCCAATCGATGCGTATCCCTTTCTTTAAGGACCTGATG